TTTATTTTTGTGGGGTTTTTAGGACCCAAAAATCCCCAAAAATTTCAAATTTTTGGGGTCGATTTTCTCGATTTTTGGGGTTTTTTGGGGACCCAAAAATCCCCAAAAAATCCCCAAAAATTCCCAAAAATTCAGGATTTTGGGGTCGATTTTTTTTATTTTTGTGGGGTTTTGGGGACCCAAAAATCCCCCAAAATTTCAGAATTTTGGGGTCAATTTTCTCAATTTTTGGGGTTTTTTGGGGACCCAAAAATCTACAAAAATTCCCAAAAAATCCCCAAAAATTCCCAAAAATTGTCAAATTTCGGGGTCGATTTTTTTCCATTCCTGGGAGGTTTTGGGGACCCAAAAATCTCCAAAAATCCCCAAAAATTCCCCAAAAATTTCAAATTTTTGGGTCGATTTTTTTTTTATTTTTGGAGTTTTTGGGACCCAAAAATCCCCAAAAATTCCCAAAAAAATCCCCAAAAATTCCCAAAAAATTTCAAATTTCGGGGTCGATTTTTTTCCGTTCCTGGGATGTTTTGGGGACCCAAAAATTCCCAAAAATTCCCAAAAATTCCTAAAAATTCAGGATTTTTGGGGTCATTTTTTTTTATTTTTGTGGGGTTTTGGGGACCCCAAAAATCCCTCAAAATTTCAGAATTTTGGGGTCAATTTTCTCGATTTTTGGGGTTTTTTGGGGATCCAAAATTCCCCAAAAATTCCCAAAAAATCCCCAAAAATTCCCAAAAAATTCCAAATTTCGGGGTCGATTTTTTTCCATTCCTGGGAGGTTTTGGGGACCCAAAAATCCCCAAAAATCCCCAAAAATTCCAGAATTTGGGGTCGATTTTTTTTATTTTTGGGGTTTTTTGGGGACCCAAAAATTTCAAATTTTGGGTCGATTTTTTTTTAATTTTGGAGTTTTTGGGACCCAAAAATCCCCAAAAATTCCCAAAAAATCCCCAAAAATTCCCCAAAAAATTCCAAATTTCGGGGTCGATTTTTTTCCGTTCCTGGGATG